GCAATTCTATATTCTGAATCTGTGAAGCATTTCACAGATTAAAATAAAATAAAGCAAGTTTGTAGCTTGATGTAAGAAGCAGTGGGTAATAATTCCCTGCCAGAATTCTATTTTTAATAACAAAACTTGGTGAGATCTTACTGACTGCTTTCTGGAACTGGCAATGATCTTCCTGTGGACTGTTTTATTTCAGAGAGCAGTCACTGACCTTGGGCAGTTTGCTGATCTTAACAGAATTCCTTGAAATTTGAATTTTGCTCTCAAAGAGGCACCCTAGACCCACCCCTGACTTTTGCAGGTACATCTCATTCTTTTTCCTTTTCCCCTTTTATGCTATCCCAGTATGTGAGCAGGGATTCCCTGCTATTCTTTTCACACTTGAACTCATGTCTCTACATGACTTCAACAACCACCCCTGGGATTATTGCAAATCGTCTCATCTGCTCACAGGTATGCCTGTGTCTTTGTGGGGCATATATTTCCCCTATATATTTCCCAATTTTATTTAGACTTACTATCCCCACCTCAAATGTGTCATGTTCAAAACAAATGTGTTGAAAATACACAAATGGCCAATAAGCACATGGAAAGATGCCCAGGATCATTAGTCACTAGGGGAATGAAATCAAAATTCACACCCACTAGGAAGACTATAAGCAAAATGACAAGCACTGACAATGTTGGCAAGGAGGTGGAGAAATTGAATTCCTCACACCTTCCTTGTGGAAAGGTAAAAGTAAAACCACTTTGGCAAATAGTTTGACAGTTTTTCAAAGTGTTAAATTCAGTTACTGTATAACTGAGCAACTATACTGTTAGGTACATACCCAAGGAAAAAAAAAAAAAAACAACACGTATGTATGACTGTTCCTAGCAACTTCATTAATAATAGCCACCAAGTGGAAATATTTCAATTTCCCATCAATCTGATGAATGGTTATATAAATGTGGTATATCCATACAATGGAATATTATTCACTCAAAAAAGCAGAAACCAAGCACTGATTCATGTGACAAGGTGGTTGAATCTTGAAAACTATAACAAATGAAGAGTCAGACATAAAAAGTCACATATTGCACAATTCCATGTATATTAAATATTCTGAATGAAGCATTTCAAATTCATAGAGAAAGAAGGTAGTGGTTACCAAGCACTGGGAGGTGGGGGAATTGGAAGCAATTGATAATGACTATAAGGTTTCTTTTTGCAATGATAAAAATATTCTGGGATTAGTAAGAATGATTGCACAATTTTATGAATATACTCAAATCCCTGAGTTGTGTACTTTAAAAGAATACACTGTATGATATGTGAATTAGATCTCAATTACAAACAAATTAATATACTCTGAAATTGAACTTATTTTCATTAAACAGCTATCTTTTCAACATCCATCTTGGTTAGTGATACCCTGTCACTTCAAGCATCCAGTGGCAGAGTTCACCCCACCAATACTTACTGAATGTCATGGTGTGGGTGTGGGATGGCTCTCAGAGCTAACATTGGGCACTCAACCCACTCCAGGTAGTCTCTGACAGGCTTTATGTGTGTTAACTCATTTATACTCCATAGCAGTTAATCTCATCTGCTTCATCTGAGCAGTAGAGAAAATCTGGGCAGAGAGGTTATGCAGCTGGCGTGGTCACCCTCTGGGGAAGTGCTGGGACATTTTCAATCACAAACCCATGCAGTCTGACTCCTAAATTGACTCTTTTTACCATAGCACTCTTACCTGATCCTTTACTACATACCCCACCCCATCCCAATTCCCCTGCACTGACCTCCTATGCCTGAGGAGAGAAAGAACAGCTGAGTGGTTAAGAGCTCTGTAAATATGCTGGTGCTGTTGTCATAACTACACTACCTCTAACTGACTTTAGGCAAAGTAACAGAAGAGAGGGCTGTCATGCGCTCTGGGAACTTATTTTCTCATAAATATGTACACAATACTGGGGCCTCCCTGGTGGCACAAAGGGTTAAGCACAACACTGTGAAGCTGTCCACAGCCACTGCAGCACGAGTTCGATCCCTGGCCAGTCAGGGAGCTACCCACATGGCGAAGCAGACCTCTCCTGGCTTGCCCACTGCTCCCCTCAGCAGTGTATTTCAGTCAGTCTGCCTGTTCTGTTCCCCACTCTGTCTCTGGTGATTCCTCTCACCCCCTGCATCTCTGATCTGACCTGTACCCCAGTTCTTGTAATGTACAAACAAGTAAATCTTTTAAAAAAAAAATACATCCCACTGGGCCTCCCCTGGTGGCAGAGTGGTTGAGCGCTGGGTTGCGAAGCTGCCCACAGCCTCTGCAGTGCCGGTTCGATCCCCGGCCACCGACGAGGGTCCCACATGGCACGCAGACCTCTCCTGTGGCCCGCTGCTCCCCTCAGCAGTGTACTTCAGTCCTTCTGCCTGTTCTCCCCACTCTGGCTCTGGTGAATTCTCTCACGCTTCTGACTGTACCCAGTGCTTGTATAAATAAATGAATAAATCTTAAAAAAAAAAAAATACATCCCACTGTTGTTTTAGTTTCCCTCACTGTTTTTAGCAATTTTAAATACATTTGATCTTACTGTATATCACATGCATAATTAAAAGAAGGGAGGTTATTTCTATATAAATTGACTGCTTTTGAAATAAGATGCCCCAAAGAGGGCCACAAGATTTGTCTTCCTAAGAGAATTTTGCTTTACTTTAGGAAAAAGCCCTGCCAGGCTCTTTGGGTTGATGACAGACAGAGCCCATGAGGGTGCAGACAGGAGAAAGAATAAGGAGTCCACATAGTCAGTCTGTTCTATGCAAGAGCAAGAGGAATTCAGGAGCTGACCAGGCAACAAGAAAATTCCTTTCAAGAACAATGGGCAGAGGATTCTTGGCAGGGAGAAGTTAGTTTCCTTACAAAGCAGGAGACAAAGGTCTGAGAAGGATGACCAACTAGAAATCCCTGAAGTCAGGGATGGCTGAGGAATTTTTAGGACTGATATCTGGTGCTCAAAGTTATTTTCTGTTCTGTGCAATGCTACCCTTTCCCAACCCAGCAGGCCTTCAGTAGACATCTGCAACTCACGGTTATCTGGGCTAGGGGAGATTTGGGCAACAGAGTAAAGGCTTGGTGTCCTATAGAAGAGATGGATGCTGACATGAACTCCAAGAGTGAGAGACACTGGAAGATAGTGAAAGTAAGTGACTGCAGAGAAGACCAAGGCCACCATTGCTTGCGAGACCACCCTTCCTTGAAACACAATACAAGAAGGAGGGCCTTGAATGGGGGCACCAGGGTGGCTAGACACTGCCTCAACAAAAGTGAAGTTTGTAGAGAAATCTCCATGGAGACAGCTGCATTCCACATTTTAGAAACTGCCCTGCATTTCTTTATAGCAGAAGATCAAATGGGAAAAGGAAAGCACTGCCACTCTGCATATGCTTATGTAAGTCCTTTCTTGAATGGTCTACAGTGTGCTGTGCAATATCCCCTCTGCACTTCAGGATGTGCCATCAATCCACCTCTTCCAGGAAGGAGTCCTTGAGGACTTTCCCCTCATTTCTCTATAGTGTTTCTCATATGGAAGTCCTCCAAGTTTAGTGACAAAAACAGTAACAACAGCTTCACGGGAGAAATATTAGTAATGAAAACTAGCAATTGCCCAGGGCTCTGCCCCAGGTCCACCTGGCAAAGGGTGAGGTCCAGCAGTGTGTCTGAACAAGCCCTCCTGGTGATGCTGGTGCACACTAAAGCTTGAAAACCAACCCAGAAAGTTAGAGTTATTTTATTAAAGCTGCAGTAAGACCCTCTCTCCCTTCTACTCAACACCACACAATGGAATCCCATGTCATGCCTAGTAAGAACCAAAGTATCCATAACTACCTTCCAGAACCCAAGTGTGTGCTGGTTCCCCTTTTACCTCTCTGACCTCACTTGCTCCCCATCCTACCCCCACCCTGGTCTCTGCCACTCACTCCAGTCTGGTCATGGAGCCCAGTGATTTGAGAATGGAGCAGGTCTACTTCTACCTCAACACCTGTATTGGGGGTGCACCTTGACAGGTACATCCTTCCCAAAATGGCCCATGGCCAGGTCCCTCACCTCCTATATATCATCTCTTCTGTGAACCCGGTGGGGACAACTTATAACTAGGCTCATCTCCATAACCAACCCCATTTTTTGACTTATTTTTCTCCATAGCACTTATCTGCTCAGAACACTGTATATTTTACCTCCTTAAAATTTTTATTGTATGCCTCACTCTGCTAGAACGTAAATTCCAGAAAACAGAGATCTTATTTCATGTTTTCCTATTTTGTTCATTGATATAGTACTTGAGTCATGTGGCGACGAATATCCAATAAATACTTGTGGGATGTGTGAATGTGGTGTTTGTTTTCAGTCTTCCTTTGTTCATGAGCTACCCCTTTCATCGCACCCTCTGTTGCCAACTAGTTTGGAAGCTCCGGGAAAAGAGATGCTCCATCTTGGATGTCTGCCTTCCCCACTGTGCCTAGCACCATGCTGAGGATTCAAAGAGCACAAAGATACCCCTGGACCATAGATCTGAGAACACTCTCCCCTGGACTTGGGTTTCAAGACAGAAACCCTTGCAATGCCCCATACATATCCAGAGCTCCCTCTGCTCCCTCAACGCACAGTTTAAGTCTCCATGTCAGCTTCCTCTGCCTGGTCCAGCCATAATTTCCATCATTTCCCCTGACATGCAAAGAATCCACCTCTCCCTGGCTGCTCTCACCACCCCCAGGCAGTGCCTGCTCAGGCAGCCTCCATCTGTCCCTCACCCGAGTTCCAGCGACCCAGCATGACAGCTGAGATCTATAATTTATTAGTGCCCTTCTGCTGGGCCTGCTCTTTCTCTTTCTTGGGCATCATTGGTCCCAGGCCTTCGTCAGCACCCTCACAGGGGCTGCAGGTGTTTGAAATGGAGGTAATCCGAGTCAAGCACTGGGCTAAGATAAGCAATTTGAGAGTTTAGAACATGCTGTGTAGGGAGAAAAAAGTCTTTATTATTTTAAACAGGGTCCTGGAATCTCTTCACTCCCCTTCTTATTTGCATTGGCCTGACTGTACAGTAAAATCCCATTTTGTTCTTTGAAGAAGTGTGTGCATCATTTGGGGCCAGGAACCTGCGAGAGAGAGGGGGCCAGACAGCACGCATGAGTTGTCATCTCAAACCTCAGTAGGCAATATGTGTTTTTAATAATCATCTGGTAATTAACAGCTGTGATTCAAAGGCTTTCATTTGGAAAAAATAATAATAATTTTACTTCCTGGTGCCAGGAGCCAGATGGGCAGCCAAAGAGAGAAGCCGCCAGCTACGAATCAGAGAGGTAGAGAAGGTGAGGCGTACAGACTCCCTCATCACATTGCAGCTGACACAACATCTGGACAAGAGAACAAAGCGAGGCCTATGTACCTGTGCCTACACACCCCCCCACACACACTTGTTCAATTAGCACTAGCACAGCAGAAGTTTGCAATCCTGCTATAAAAAGTAGACACCCTCCCTTCGTTGACTTGTTCTAAATGACCTCTTTAAAAAGATGCACAGCCTGATAAATAATGTTAAACTGGGAAATTATTTTGAATGATCACATGACCATGGATTCTTTATTTAGTTCAAAAAAATTGCATTGACCTTTAGGCCTTTTTACTGTTTGCTACCAGCATCTCAGTCATCTCTCCTTTCCCCTGCTGATTTCTCCCTCCTCAGGGTCAATGGGAAGTAAAACATCATGTGTCTGTAGCACATACTCTCAATATCTTCACAAATCTCCCTCACTTGCTCTCTCTCTCTCACAAACACACACACACAAACACACACGTCCCTGCTAGAGATATCAGAGGAGAGGAAATAGATAAAGGAGGACAACAAGAAATAAGTGCATATTTTACATTCTCATAAAGACCAGTGTGTGATCTCTTTACATGTCTGGGTATGATGACTGGAGTTTGTCTTCTTGGCTGACACCATTTGAAGCTTGACATGGATTTGAGGGCTTTGTTACTGTTCATAAAGAAGAGGAAGAGTGCCTCCCTGGTGGCACAGGGGGTTAAGCACAGCACTGTGAAGAGACCTGCAGCCTCTGCAATATGAGTTCGATCTCTGGCCAATCAAGGAGCTACCCACATGGCACAACAGACCTCTCCTGACTTGCCCACTGCTCCCCTCAGCAGTTTACTTCGGTCAATCTGCCTGTTCTGTTCCCCACTCTGTCTCTGGTGAATCCTCTCACCCCCCCACCTCTGGCCTGTACCCCAGTTCTTGTATGCATAAATAAATAAATAAATATTTAAAAAAGAAAAAGAAAGAAGATGAACTGACACGCAGGAGGGAAGAAGGAAGGAAGAAAGAATAGGATAGATCTGTCCACGTATCATTTTTATCCATCTTTGTTTGCCAAATATGTAAGGTAAACCTGTCATGGGCTGAATGCCACACTGTAAAAACAGCGTGGAGAGGGCGGGTTCTGGTCCACAATGGTGGCAGCTGCATTGCCCAAGTGGTAGGGGACAGGTATGGCCAGGTCTTGGCTCCACACCCCACTCATACTTTCATCACCAGGAACAATCGCAGAGCTGTGGCTGCCTTCTCAGTCCTGCTTTGAGGAGCTTAATATTTTGATGGTTGCCATGGTAAGCAAGCTTAAAACACCACTGGATAATATGAATGATGAAGATAATGCTTCATAACTTTCAATGGCCTGACTCTGAAAAGAGGATTTTGGCATTTCCATTTGATATAGTAGAAAGAACAGCATACAGAAGATTAGAAGAACTGGATTACACTGACCTGCAGTCAGTGGCTCTGTGACCACTTGATCTCTTTGGGAAGAGAGATGCCTCTTCTAAAAAAGTAGAAGATAGTTATGTGCATACTAAATTTGGGGATTTAAGATAGTAATACATAACTTGTGGTCAAAGAGTTGGAATCTGGCCTCCCCTCTCCATTAACCAACATGGAGACTTTAGACATTACATGTAAACTTTCTGGGTCACCATTTCCTCATTGAAAAAATTTGACATTAAAGGTATATATTATAGATGTCGTAATTGCATGATGTCAACAATAGATAAAGAGGAACCAATTTCTCGGACTATCAAGCCCTAATGGAAGAGATGAAATAGCTCAGGTGGCCTCAGGGTGTCCTTACTTAGGACATTCTCACCTTACTCGTGACCCTGTCATGCTCTACTGGCCTTAAAGCTCCACCACACGTGTTGAAACTAAAACAGATGAATACTTCCTGTGACCCTCACTGCAATCATCCTCACAACTAAGATCTGTTAGAAAGTAGAAAATAAAATACTGGGACTTCCCTTAGTGACCTAGCGGTTAAGCCTCAGCACTATCACCACTACGGCCTGAGTTCCATCCCTGGCCAGGGTGCTAACCCACAGGGCGCAGCAGACCTCTCCTGTCTCAGCTGCTGCTCCCCTCAGCAGTGTATTTCAGTAGATCTCCTGTTTTGCTCCTCACTCCTTTTCTGGTGAATCTGATCACTCCCCGATACCTCTGGCCTACACCCCAGTCCTTCTAGGCATAATTAAATAAAAATAAATCTTGGGCCTCCCCGGTGGCGGAGCGGTTGAGTGCTGGGTTGCGAAGCTGCCTGCAGCCTCTGCAGCACCTGTTCGATCCCCGGCCGCCAGCGAGGGTCCCACATGGCGCATAGACCTCTCCTTCCGTGCCCGCTGCTCCCCTCAGCAGTGTATTTCTCCACCAGTCTGCCTGTTCTGTTCCCTGCTCTGACTCTGGTGAATTCTCTCACCCTCCCACGCTTCTGACTGTACCCAGTGCTTGTATAAATAAATAAATAAATCTTTTAAAAAAAAAAAAAGAAAGAAAAGAGTTAATAAATAAATAAATAAATAAATAAAAATAAATCTTTAAAAATATATATTTTCTTTAATCCTGACAATAACACTAAAGGAGAAGCAATGCAATCTCACTGTACAGATGAAGAGATTGAGAGGAGGTTTAGAGATGATCAGTAACTTTTCCAGAACTATTCACTCTTGGATAGATGGAGAGGAGACCCAAATCCAAGCAAACTTGACTCCAAAATCTGTGCACTATGCATATTTTTTGTTAATTAAGCACATAGGATGCCAACTAATGTGCCAAAGCTATTATAAACATTACATCATTTTATGATCAAGAAATCCTAAAGAGGGAAGTATTATTATCTCCATGTTACAGATGACAAACTGAAGCTCAGAAAGTTTAAGTAACTTGCCCATGTTCTCCAATAAATAATGAGAGAAACCTGGAATCTATCCCAAGTCTCTTTACCCCCAAAACCACTATGCTGACATGAAATATGGGGGAGGCACGTGTAGAATCAAAAAAAGGGCAATTCTCTCATCTGTCATGTTCCAGTAAGAATATTGCTGTTGGGGTCTCCCTCGTGGCCGAGGGGTTAAGGCTCAGTGCTACCACTGTGACAGCCCATTGCTGCGGCCTGAGTTTGATCCCAGGCCAGGGAGCTACACACATGGTGCAGCAGACCTCTCCTATCTCGCCCACTGCTCCCCTTAGCAGTGTATTTCAGTAGATCTGCCTGTTGTGCTCCCCACTCTGTCTCTGGTGAATCATCTCACCACCCCCACACCTCTGGCCTACACCCCAGTTCTTCTATGCAAAAATAAATATTTTTTCAAAAAAGAATATTGCTTTTAATTAGCTGGATTACTCTGGTTTATTGGGGTCACTGATACTAACTGGGTAAGAGAAGTGGTTTTTTTTTATGAGGGATAACATTATGTATTTTCTATTTTTAAGGAGATAAAGTCAAAAAGAAGCTTAATAATTCTAGTTCTATATCACTGACTTCATATGCAAAAAATTTTCCATAAGCAAGAAAAATTCCATACTAACTTTAAAGAAAGTATTTCTATGTGCAAACAAAGAAGAAAATGATGATACTAATATTATTGTCCAAGCACTCAAAATAGACCAAACCTTCATCTAAGTTCTCTACTCACAAAACTTCACAAAAACTATATCAGGTAGAATTCTTTCAATTTCCATTTTATCAAAAAGATGACCAAGGCAAAGAGAGGCTTATTAATTTACTCAAGATCTCATAGAAAATAAGTAGCAGAGATGGCTTGAACACAGGCAGCATACTCACGGTCCACACTTTCAACCACTGTCATCTATTGCCTCTAAAATCAAAATAGTTCATTAGCCTACTGGTAGTCAACTTGGTGCTAAATTGTATTGGGGATACAGAATGCTGTGGAAACAATTTAAGCTGATGTTAGGCAAAGAATTGAGATCTGAAAGTAAGTACACTGATTCTAACAAGGGGCATGATCTCTCTGAGTCTCTGCTTATTTCTCCATAAATCTGAGGCCATGTTATCATACACACTTGTTATGAAAATGAAAAGTGATAGCATGCCAAACACTTATCACACTCCTGGCACAATGTGGGCATCCAATCATTGGTAACTCAATTTTTTTTTAAAGAAAAAAAAGGTCAATGAGTTAGTGGTAATATCTATAGCTTGCATTGATCATCTGTTTTGACTCATGGTGCATCCTTGTTTTTAGGAGTTTAAACAATAGTTTAGACAGCTTAGAGAAATAGATGTACATTTATATATATAATATATGTAAATATAAACATATATATTATATTATATATTATATAACATATAAACATGTATATTTATATATACTATACAATACATAATATAATATATAATACACATATGTATTTATTCATATATTATTTAATATAATATATGCATAAACATTTATATATTTATGTATATATGGCCCTCCTGAGACCTTGTCTCCTCTCTATATAATATGTTATATATATATATATATATATAATATAATATATTTAGGCAAGGTAAGCATGAACATCATTGTGAGAAGGATGCCTTGCCAAAAAAAGGAAGTCCACCATCTGGGCACACTCTGAACAAAGTAATTTCCAATTACTTGCAACTTGGACCCTTGTGAGTATCTCCTGAGTTAAAGCTGCTGTTACTTTCCCACTCTTGGGGAATGAATTTCCCAGTGGATGTTAACATATGATGATTTGACTTCTCAACCCCTATGAGCACTGATAGAGCACAACACTTTGCTTAAAACAAGCTGGATCCCC